TATGACCAAGGATGAGGTCATATGAGGTCATGCACAGCCATGCACAGCAGGTCACCTGACCATCCAATCCTTCCAGCAGGTTCCAGCACATGCCAAGGTATACCAGCTACTTCCATGTCATAAAGGCTTAGTCATGTCTCTTGACCAACCAATGAGCTGGTGCCCTGACATGGACACAGTGCAGAAAGTGGTGGACATGGAGCAGCCTGGGCAGATCAGATCCAGACTCTCCTGGGGAGGGCTCTGACTGAGTAAATCAGGGTTTTCTCTTTTTGTTGTCTTTTTCTTTTCCTTGTGTCATAATTCATCTGGTAGTCATAGTTGTAGTATTTTCATGTCTTGTGTTCTCATAGATCTGAATCTTGCCTTAAGTGAAATTTGTGGTAATACATCTTGTTGGCCCCCTATGCATTGCAGAGTGCCTCAAGTCATGACTTCAACATTTTTCACGTTGGTAATTCGGATGTCATGCAAATCATAAGAGATTTCGGGTATTCTGGGAAGGATTGTGTTCTTGCCATACTACTGAGTCTGCTTGTGGACTTAGTAGATATATCTCGGGGAAATGAAAGAAAACGAGTGGCGAAGTTGGGAGGTATGCATACGCTGTTTGACGAGCTTGTGGGTATAAGGCCTGTGCTATTTATTTGGGGTCGGGCTCTGCTGTAGTCGATAAAACATCTCTCACAGTCTGCAAGATTTCGGCAGACATCTGCTGCAGAATGTCGGGGGTACGTTCGGATCGCTGGTGGTACGAGTAAACTCAGAACTGGGCAATCCGGGCTTTGAGGATGAAGAAGTTCTTTGGCTTGAGCGACAAGGAGCGCGCGCTCTGCGCTCGCGAGATGAAGAATGATGGGAATGGGTATTTCGGTTGGAAGAAAATGGGAACAATGGTCATCGACCGCGAGGACACTGTTAACCAGTATGAGACCTACAACGTGCGGGCCTATTCACGTCTCCATGATGGTAGAATTGACCCTTCTACCAGATCAGGAAGGACGATGTCGTCGGGAACACGCCTCCCCTTCCCGCTCCTAGGCTGATTAACGACAACATGCCGCTTCTCGAGACCTACGTCCGCACGGCTCATGGGATAATGATGCTCCTGTTGACGCAGCTGAATGCGCACCTGCAGCTGCCGGAGGGCACGCTCACCAATCTCCACCGACTCATGGCCGAGTCAGGTGACCACGTGAGGTTCAAGCGCTCCCCTCCTCAAGAGCCAGGGGCGCTGCACTCAGGCTCGCATACAGACTTTGGAAGTCTGACGATCCTCTTCAACTGGCTTGGCGGGCTGCAGCTCCAGATGCCTGACAACAAGGAGTGGGTGTACGTCCGCCCCATTCCTGGTTGCGTGATCGTCAACCTCGGAGACGCGCTCGTCAAGTTCACAGCTGGGTTATTCAGGAGCAACATCCACCGTGTCCTGTCACCTCCGGGCGAGCAGTGCAAGCTCGAGTGGTACAGCCTGGTGTATTTCAGCAGGCCAGAGGATACGGTTGTGCTCAAGCGGCTCAAGGGAGGCTTGATCGACCTCCAACCGTATGTGGAGGGAGAAGACGAGGGGACGAACAGCAAGGAGTGGATCTTGAGGCGTGGGTTGGCGAATAAGAAGGATAACTGGACCCCCGACCAGTGGGATAAAGGCCGTGGCACCGAAGGGGAGCGTGATAAGTAATGGCTCGTCATTTCCGCTCCTCGCTCGTCACCCGACCGTAACTTGTTCGGAACTGTGCTTGTATTCGCTGTGTTATCATGCGCACCTCGACTGGTGAATTCCAAGGAACGATGTTGATATAACTACAGTACAGATGGATGATCTACAAGTGATGTGGTGTACAACATTTGCCACCGTGCCAAGGGAATCCACACATATCATACCTATGCTGACCTACAAGCATCCACCAAGCTCGCCAGCGAGCGTCTTGCGGGATGCGTTCTTGTAGTCTCCAAAATCCCACTTGTAACAGTCCTGTTGTGGAATGAGCGCGGATATCTGATTGAGACGGGAAACAAGCGTACCACACAGTCCTCCTCCCATTCCCTGCTGGCAACAGGCACCGGCACTCCAGGTTGCCAATCCTCGCTCAACACCCTATCGATCACGGCAGAAATCCTGTGGGTCCTCAAGTCCACGCTCCATTGCTTCTCCTCTACCGTGTTGTA